TCGGGAAATACTCTTACATTGGATGGTGTCAAACATGCGCCTGATATATGGAAAAATTTAGTCAGTCGGTCCTTGCTAGTTCAACATGGCTATCGAGTTGTATTTGAGTCTAATAAAGTTGTAATTAGTAAGAGTGGTTTGTTTGTTGGTAAGGGTTATTTGTGTGAAGGTCTTTTTATGTTAATTGTAATTGTTTCTAATCCTAGTGATAATAAAAGTTCTTACTCCATGGTTTATCAAGTTGAAAGTTCGAGTGTGTGGCATGAAAGATTAGGCCATTTAAATTATAATACCATGAAAAGAATGATGAGTTTAGAATTAATCCCTAAAATTGAAATTAAAATTCAAGGAAAATGTGAAATTTGTGTTCAAGCAAAACAACCTAGAAAGCCTTTTAAATCAGTAGTTAGAGAAACCAAATTGCTTAAATTGATTCATAGCGATGTTTGTGATTTAAATAATATCTTGACACGTGGAGGAAAAAGATACTTTATAACTTTTATAGATGATTATTCAAAATATTGTTATACATATTTATTAAGGACAAAAGATGAATTATTTGAAAATCTTAAAATTTATAAATTAGAAGTAGAAAATCAACAAGAGAAGAAAATAAAAATATTAAGGTCGGATAGAGGAGGTGAATATAAACCTACTAAAATGGTAGAATATTTTGAAAATCATTGAATTATTCATCAAGAGACGTTGTCATTCTCACCTCAATCTAATGGAGTAGCAAAAAGGAAAAATAGGACATTATTAAACATGGTAAATGTGATGCTTTCTAGTTCCGATTTAGCAAATAATTTATGGGGTGAAGCTTTGTTTTCAGCATGTTATATATTAAATTGTGTACCTTATAAAAATTATGATGAGACTCCTTATGAATCATGGAAAGGTAGAAAACCAAATTTATGATACCTTAAAGTGTGGGGGTGTCTAGCTAAAGTGAGTGTTCCAAAGAATAAAAAACGAAAGCTTGGACCTAAAACCGTTGATTGTGTTTTTATAGGCTATGCGTTAAAGAGTGTTGGATATAGTTTTTTAGTTATTAAATCAAAAATTTCAGATATTACTGTTAATATTATTATGAAGGTGCGTGATGTTGTATTTTTTGAGAACACTTTTCCGTTGAGAGATCAAATTCCAAAGCAAATTAGTGAAAATGTCGTTGGGAAGCTATTAGCAAACAATCAAGATAATGAAGAACCTAGGAGGAGTAAAAGAAGAAGAGTTGAAAAGAATTTTGGTGAATATTTTTACACTTCTATATTACAAGAGGATCCTAAGACATATAATGAAGCAATGACATCTATTGATGCACCTTTTTGGAGAAAAGCAATAGATAGTGAAATGAATTCTATTATGTGTAATAGGACTTTGGTGTTAACAAATTTGCCTCATGGTAGTAGACCGATAGGTTGTAAATGGATATTTAGGAAAAAGTTGAGAACGGATGGATCTATAGAAAAATTCAAAGCAACATTGGTTGCTAAAGGGTATAATCAAAAGGAAGGAATTGACTTTTTTGATACCTATTCTCCTGTAACAAGAATAACAACCATAAGCGTTTTAATGGCCATTGCTTCAATCTTTAACTTTGAAATTCATCAAATGGACGTTAAAACTGCATTTTTGATTGGTGATCTAGACGAGGAGATTTATATGGAGCAACTCGAAGGTTTTGTAGTACCAAATCAAGAAAATAAAGTGTGTAAGTTGGTCAAATCTCTTTACGGTTTAAAACAGGCTCCTAAACAATGGCATGAAAAATTCGATAAAGTAATACTCTGAAATGGTTTCGTTATAAATGATTCGGATAAATGTCTTTATTCTAAAATAACTGAGAATGGGTGTATAATACTTTGTCTCTATGTGGATGACATTTTGATTTGTGGAACCAATGAATATGTGATTTGTGAAACTAAAAGTATGCTTTCAAATAATTTTGATATGAAGGACTTGGGCCTTGCTAATGTTATATTGGGAATAAAATTAATAAGAAATAAAGATAAGATTATTTTAACCCAATCTCATTATGTTGAAAAATTTTTGAAAAAATTTAATTATTTTGAGTATAAACCAGTGGACACACCATATGATTCACATGTACACCTAAAGAAAAATCTAGGTGAAAGTGTATCACAACAAAAATATTCACAGGTTATTGGATCATTAATGTATTTAACCAATTGCACTAGGCTTGATATTGCTTATGTCGTCAATAGGCTAAGTAGATATACTTCTAATCCCAATCAAGAACATTGGAAAGCTATTGAAAGTGTATTTCGATATTTAAAAGGTACCTTAAATTATGGTCTTCATTTTCCAGGGTACCCAGCAGTATTGGAAGGATTCAGTGATACTTACTGGATCTTGGATTCGGATGAAACTAAAGCTACCAGTGGTTATATTTTTATGTTTGGTGGTGGAGCTGTGGCTTGGAAGTCAACAAAGCAGACTATTATATTTCGATCAACAATGGAAGCAGAATTTATTTCATTAGATTCAGCTGCAACTGAAGCTGAATGGCTCAAGTGTCTATTATCAGATATACCTCTTGGTAGTAAGCCTATTCTAGCAATTTCTCTACATCGTGACAATCAAGCTACAATTGTCAAGGCGAAGAATTCCAATTACAACGAAAAAAGGAGGCATATACAGATCCGTCATAATTCTATCCNAAGCTACAATTGTCAAGGCGAAGAATTCCAATTACAACGAAAAAAGGAGGCATATACGGATCCGTCATAATTCTATCANTCTATTATCAGATATACCTCTTGGTAGTAAGCCTATTCTAGCAATTTCTCTACATCGTGACAATCAAGCTACAATTGTCAAGGCGAAGAATTCCAATTACAACGAAAAAAGGAGGCATATACAGATCCGTCATAATTCTATCCAACAGTTGCTTACTCAAGGAGTAATTGCACTTGACTTTGTGAGGTCCGAAAATAATTTGGCGGACCATCTTACTAAAGGGCTAGAGAAGAGGCTAGTTCAAGATTCATCGAGGGAAATGGGCATATAAGTTAGTCATTGCAGTGGACACCTAACCTCTGTGATTGGAGATCCCATGAAGGAGGTTCAATAGGTAGGAACGAAACTGTAACATGACTATGTTGAGAACTGAATTGTAACAAGGGAAATTCCCTAGTACCATTTCTAAGGTGATAGTGCTCTAAACTGTGATGGTGATAAGGAGGAGTAAATATCTTAATGAGCCCAAGGCAAGATTCTGCAGGGTGTTGGTCACAAAACATCCTTGGAGGGTTCACCTATATGTTTGTTTGTAGTGAGACCNAACAAGGGAAATTCCCTAGTACCATTTCTAAGGTGATAGTGCTCTAAACTGTGATGGCGATAAGGAGGAGTAAATATCTTAATGAGCCCAAGGCAAGATTCTGCAGGGTGTTGGTCACAAAACATCCTTGGAGGGTTCACCTCTATGTTTGTTTGTAGTGAGACTGCTACTATGGGATGTAGGCTAATCCCAAAGGAAACACTCATGAAAATCAAGATACTCACGCATGGCCGTAAGAGAACAAAACTGATTAGAACTTGATCTAATACCCGTACCGTGTGTGTGACGAGTAGAAACCTGAATTAAAGAGCCTAGTTCAAGATTTGTTCACTATGGTTTTTCAGATGGAAACTCGTTAACGCTAAGTGAATGTTCAAGTCTGGAAGACACTGATCACCTACTGCACGGTATGGTTGCCCAATTTATTTTTATTTAATTTTAAATCATGTGGGGGATTGTTAGTATATATGATTTAAAATTAAATTTATTATCATTTATTCATATTAATAATTTCAGCCCCACATTTATTTTATGATTATGATTTTAAATGATTCTAATTTTTGATTGTTGAAATTCTTTAGGGGGAGTTATATGTAATAACTATACATATCATTAATATATATATATATATATATATATATATATATATGTTCTAGCCTTAACTAACCATTATGTACATTAGAGTTACTTACATGAGGACTAGCCGTTGAAGCCAAGCATTTCTCATATATTCATATAGCTTTAAGAGGATAATGACTATCTATTAATATATAAATAGACTTGTGTTCTATCTTCCTTTCATATAGAAAAACAACTCTCATATACAAATTCTCCTTCATTCCTCACTAGTTTTGGTGTGTTTTTGTGGGCAACTTGGGTGTGAACAGTTCATTATAGAGAGGTTCACGTTTACACCGTAACTTCTCTCAGATTGTTGTATCTTGGGAAAAGAACGTCGAAAAACTCTGTGCAAAGGGGACGTATCTCTTCTTAGGACAACGTTCATCTCGCGTTTCAATCCAGACTATTCTAAACTTATTTTTTTATCTAAGTTCCATTGAGTATATTTGATATATTTGCATGTTTGTTTAATTTATGAATCTGTGATTTTATGTTTTATTTTCTAACACTTGGCTTCTGAGTTGTCAAAATGGCCGAGCTGCTTTTGTTGTTCTGAGTGTCTCCGTCATTGGTATTATGTTCAATGTCACAAGCATACAAAAAAGCAAAATATGCATGTATCTCCTTGTGTATGGTAATCGGGAAATTAAAATAAAAATTTGATCAAGTTAATAATCATCAGGAAATTCCAAACCAAACAACCTTAAATCATAGTATACCTGAAATATCAGGAGATATTAGTATGTTAAGAAACTTACCTGTCATCATCTATTATATCTGTATCATTCTCAGTTTCATCATCTGGTTCTGGTTCTTCAAGTTGCTGATTAATAATCTTGTCAGTTAGGTACATTTCAGCCATGTCGATATCATCAATCAACAAATGTTCAAGTTCATCTTGGATCGGAAAAATCATGACGATATAATTCAATATCATACATAATATTCTGCAACATTATTAGCTAATGAAATACATATCAATTAGAATATCCAGATTTCAAAATAAAGCTATCACTGTTACCTTTAGGACATGGCCAAACAAAGCTACCAGATGACTCATTATAAGTCTGACTCATTGGAGATTAAGCATGCTGATACTAATGGATAATTTATCTAAAGCTGGATATGCTTCTTGCTCTAGTGTGGATGTCTGAAATAAACAACCAAATCCATTTAAGAAGAAACTAGGGTTCATAGTACTTTTGATCATTAAAGTATGGCAGTTCTATGAGTTTGGTCATTACTATATTGATTTTTTTAATTTGCTCTCCAAAATTTCAATTTGTGTCAATTTGGTTCTTAATCATATAATCCGTTAAATTTTTTGACGAAAGTGATCTCGTGCCATTTTTACAGATGGTATCACGTGACCAACGCATGATTATTCCGACAAAAACTTAGCAGTCTGTCTGTGTAGAGACAATTTAAACACGATTTGAATAGTTTAGAGACCAAATAAAAAAATTAATATTTTAGGGATAAAATGGATAAAACATAGATAATTTAGGGACCAAAAATATTATTAAACCAAAAAACTACATTGCTGATGTACATGTAAATTTATATGAAGTTGATACATACCTCGGATTCAAGGCCCTTGCAAACAAATTTCAAGCATATTTCAAGCACTCTGAACTCGAAAGGTAGGACCTTTGAACCACCCATTTTCGATGTGTTTGTTTGATTTGTAGGTCTGTTATCACTTGGTTCAGGAAGCAAACCAGAGGGTGAGTGCTTTCTATCCTCATCACTTCCTTGAATGGTCTTCACACATGGAAGGGCTATCAATTAAGATTGTGGTTGGGTGACACTAGAGGTGTTGAATAGACGGGTTGAGTTGGTTAAGGGTTGGTTTAAAATGGGTTGAGAGTAAAACAAATTCAATCTGTTTTCAACCCGATTAATAAACGGGTTATAATGAGTTGGATCATATTAGGTTGAATTAAACTTGTTAACATGTAAAAAAAATTAAAATCCTTTGATATAAACACATACTAATACACCGAATAAAATAGATGCTAATATAAAAAAAAATACATATACTAAAACACACACACACTAATACATCGGCTTGGGGTTGGAGTCGGGGTCAGAGTCAGGGTTAGAGTATGGTCTGGGTGTACTAGTGTGTGTGTGTGTGTTTTTTTTTTTTTTTTTTTCCCTTTTTTTTTTGGGTACATATGTGTATTTGTGGGTGTATTAATGTGTTTTTTTTTGGTATACTAGTATGTGTGTATTTTTTGGTATATTAGTGTGTGTATTTTAATTTTATTATTTTTGTTATTTAATACAAAAATAAATACTCAACCCAGTGGGTTCCTATTTATAATTCATCTTAACCCGTTTAATTAACTCATTTATTTATAGACAACGAGTTGAGTGAGATTAATGAATACTGGGTTAAGATTGACACCTCTAAGTGACACAAACCATTTGGATATATGCTTTATAGAAGGAAGTTGATCTAAAGGAGTTAGAATCAGTGTTTATCGGTATGTATAAGAGCTACTATCATCCCCAGATTTTGTCTTGGTTATTACCAATCAAAACTGTGATCATATTAGTTGTTTTGGGACAATTTGGCGAATAGATAAATTTCAAAGAAGTTTTACTAACAAATCAAAAGTTATGAAGAAGATTCATCTTAGGGTAACCACACACTGGCATTTGCTTCACTCTTTTTCAAAATCTTTAACCGAATAAAACTACTTTCATAACTAATTTTAACAAAAAAAATTCTAAAAAGATTCATGAAATTAACAAAACACTTGATTCATGATTTATAAAGAAAAAATCTACTCACAATAGGTTGGGAGCCATCAGAACTAGAGAGTTTGTGCTCAAGGTCACTGACAAAAGGCGCAAAACCAGGATCATTTGGATTCAGAATGAGCATCTCAGTTGCTGTGACTATAGCTTTAAGATTTTTCAAATTCAGAACAATGGCGCGCTCCCTTCCAAGTATCGTGGATGGGTACGAAAGCTTAGGATCGAGAACTCTAAGATCCCGCGCTGAAATTCATGTCCTGCGCATAATCGACTGCTTCCCAAACCTCTTGAATATGTGACTTTCCAATCGCTTGAACAAAAAGCCACGCCCTCCTTTCAACATCCTTCCTTCTTACCAGAGGTGACAAGATCATGAGCTCGTCGAAGTTCCCCGTGCCTATTCACCCTGTATGTCAAAATCGAGATCAGCTAATTCTATTTCTCAATCTTTCTGACTTGTTCCTACAGAACCCAGATGAAAAATCCCAGTTACAGAGTTTGATATAATTTTATTTGTAATGGTAGTGTAGATGTAGAATTCTGAGTGAAGGATTGTCTATCTGATACTCTTTTATTTGCCAAAGAATCTGCAACCCTATTCCCTTCCCTATATGTATGCTGCATTTGAAAGGTAAACTGTCTTAGCAAAGAGAATATGTGATCCAAAAGACTCCAGAATTTCCATCTTGCCCTAGACTTCTGATTGACCACTTAACAACACCTTTATTTCTGCCTCCATATTCGAGCATATGCCATAATAATAGGAACCAGCAAGAACCAATTGACCACTTGAATTGCGTATAATTGCCCCACCTCTTGACTCCCCTGGGTTACCATCGATGTTAAGCTTAAGCAAACCTATAGCTGGATATTTCCAAGCTATCCACCATGAAAACATTTTGACATCTTTGTATTTAGACACACTACGTGAATGAAGCCGCTCCTTATCATGAGCTGAATCTAATGCTTTTGGTCTAACAGTATTCACCTGCAACCACAAAAAATGCATTACTTTTCTTACCAGTGTATGTTGGGTTTCCCTCCTTTGTGGGACTCATCAATTTGCTAATTTTTTGGTGGCTTACCCGTGTATGACTCTTATCCAAGACTTGGTTTGGAGTCTTCAAGTTAAAAGGAATTTGGCAGCCACCAAAGACTATAAGTTTTGTCTTTTTCTTTGGTTCATCTCTTCTCTGTTGGTTTGGCAAGAAGACATTTTTTCGGCAGTCTTTGGTTCAACAAAAATTCAGCCTTCTTCTTCTCCTTTTTTGGTGCCAGAAAAATCTGCAAATTTGTTCTTCAAGTGGGTAACATTTCTTCACTTGATATTTGGGTTTCTTGCGGTTTGTTCTTGGAGATTTGGTTCACTTATTTTGTGAGGTATTTTCCTCTTGTGATTTACACCTTGGTGTGTTTGTAAGGCTTATGCCTTTTGGCCACTTTGTAATCTGATTTGGTGATAGTGGAAGAAACTAACCTACCGGTCGTCGTGGATGTACCTCAAGTTATTTGAGGGAACCACGTAAATCTTGTGTGCTTATTTATTTTCTGTTATTTTATTTATATTGCTTCCATTGATTTACACTTGTGGGAAAGCCTATTTTCCCAACATCTGGTATCAGAGCAATTGGTTAATTCGGTTCCGATTCGTTATATTTCTGTGTGTGAATTATGGACGGCAACGTTGGACGTATGGTTAGTTTCAATGGCACAAATTGGGTGACTTGGAAAACTAAAATGGAAGATCTTTTATTTTGTAAAGATTTAAATGGACCCATAGAGGGTGATAGTGGCAAACCGGAAGGGATGAAAGATGACGAGTGGAAAAAGCTAGACCGGAAAGCTGTCGGTTTTATTCGGCAATGGATTGATGATAGTGTCTTTCATCATGTCTCTACAGAAAAATCTGCACATGGTCTTTGGACCAAATTGGAGAGTTTGTATGATAGAAAGACGGCAGTGAATAAAACCTTTTTATTTCGAAAGCTTGTGAACTCTAAATATAAGGAGGGTACTTCTATTGCAGAGCATTTGAATGAGATTAAGAGCATTGTGAATCAGTTGGCCGCCATGAAAATTACTTTTGATGATGAGTTGCAAGCTTTGTTACTTCTTAGTTCACTTCCCGAAAGCTGGGAAACTTTGGTGGTCACAGTTAGTAACTCCGCACCTGATGGAGTGGTAACAATGAGTCAAGTTACCAGCAGTTTGTTGAATGAAGAAACAAGAAGAAAATCATCAGGTTCTTCTTACTCCGAGGCACTTGTAATGGAAAACCGGGGGAGAGGCAGGAGTAAGAGTAGGGTTCCGCACAACCGTGATAAATCTAGAGGTCGTTCAAGCTCGATGTCAAAAAAGGATGTTGAATGCTATTATTGTCACAAGAAAGGGCACATGAAGCGGGAATGTAGAAAACTCAAGTTCAAGGAGCAGAACAAAGAGAAAAATTCAGAGAAAAAGCAAATTGATACAGCTGTAGTTACCGATGATGAACTCATGATTATCCGTGATGATGCTAGCGTTAATTTGATTGGCCAAGAGACGGATTGGGTAATTGATTCTGGAGCTTCATTTCATGTTACTTCGCGGGCTGATTTCTTTACTTCTTACTCACAAGGTGATTTTGGGAATGTCCGTATGGGAAATGAAGATGTGTCAAAAATTGTCGGCATGGGTGACATTTGCTTGGAAACAAATATTGGATGCAAATTGCTGCTTAGAGATGTGAGGCATGTACCAGATATTCGACTCAATTTAATCTCTGCTGGAAAGTTAGATGATGAAGGCTACATCAACAATTTCAGTAATGGAAAATGGAAGCTCTCCAAAGGTTCTCTAGTGGTAGCAAAAGGAAAGAAGACTTGTTCTCTTTACACTATGCAAGCAAAAATCTGCAAGGGTGTTGTGAATACCTTAGAGAATGACTCATCCACTGATTTATGGCATAGAAGGCTTGGACATATGAGTGAAAAAGGATTGCAAGTTTTGTCCAAGAAAGAGCTTCTAGTGGGGATAAAAGGTACGCCTTTGAAAACTTGTGTTCATTGTTTCCATGGTAAACAAAACAGAATATCATTCCGTAGAAACATTGCATCTAGAAAATCTCATGTTTTAGATTTGGTACATTCTGATGTATGTGGTCCTTTGAAAGTTAGGACACTTGGTGGTGCTCTATACTTTGTCACTTTTATTGATGATCACTCTAGAAAAGTTTGGGCTTATACACTGAAAACTAAAGATCAAGTTCTAGATGTGTTTAAGATTTTTCAGGCCAAGGTTGAAAGAGAAACAGGTAGACAGTTGAAATGTGTTCGCTCGGATAATGGTGGTGAATATATTGGACCATTTGATCAGTATTGCACAAATCATGGTATCAGGCATGAAAAGACAGTTAAAAAGACACCTCAACAGAACGGGGTTGCAGAGAGAATGAATCGCACCATTCTTGAGAGAGTCAGATGTTTGCTCTCACATTCTAAATTGCCAAGATCCTTTTGGGGTGAGGCAATGAGGACCGCAGTTGATCTTATCAATTTGTCTCCTTCAGTTCCGTTGAATGGTGATGTGCCAGAGAAAGTTTGGACAGGGAAGGAAGTCTCCTATGATCACTTGAGGGTATTCGGCTGCAGAGCTTTTGTTCATATTCCAAAAGATGAAAGGTCCAAGCTTGATCCAAAAGCAAAGCAATGCATATTTCTTGGCTATGGGCATGAAGAATTTGGATACAGGTTGTATGATACAGTTGACAAGAAAGTTGTCAGAAGCCGAGATGTTGTTTTCTTGGAAGATCAGACTATTGAAGACATCGACAAGCTTGAGTCAGCTGAGTCTAGTACTGATGATCTTGTTGATTTAGATCCTCTCAATCCCTCTGCTGTTCATGATATTGATGAGGAAGTGCAAACACCTCATGATGATGCAGCAGAAGATGATGTTGAGCCAGAGATTGAGGGGGAGCAACCACCCCAAGAGCCACTACCACAGACACCGTTAAGGAGATCTACTAGAGAAAAACAGCCATCCAGAAAATATTCTTCAAATGAGTATGTGATGATATCAGATCAGGGGGAGCCAGGGACTTATCAAGAAGTCTTGAAGCATGAGAACAAAACTGAATGGTTCAAGGCAATGAAAGAGGAAATGAAGTCTTTGCATGAGAATCACACCTATGATTTGGTGAAGCCGCCTAAAGGGAAGAAAATTTTGAAAAATAAATGGGTCTTCAGACGAAAGAATGATGGGAACAGTTCTCAACCGAGATTCAAGGCACGACTTGTCGTGAAAGGTTTTGATCAGAGAAAGGGAGTTGATTTTGATGAGATCTTCTCACCAGTTGTGAAGATGTCCTCCATTCGAACTGTGCTTGGTATAGCTGCGAGTATGAATTTAGAAGTTGAGCAGCTTGATGTAAAGACCGCATTTTTGCATGGTGACTTAGAAGAGGAAATTTATATGGAGCAACCTGAGGGCTTCAAAGATAAGGGTAATGATCAGTTAGTTTGCAAATTGAAGAAGAGCTTGTATGGATTGAAGCAAGCACCGAGGCAGTGGTACAGAAAATTCGATGCTTTCATGAGTGAGAATGGGTATTCAAGAACCACTTCAGACCATTGTGTGTTTGTGAAGAAATATAAAGATGGTAATTTTATTATTCTCTTGCTTTACGTTGATGATATGCTTATTGTGGGCCAAGACACGAGTAAGATTAGCAAGTTGAAGTCAGAGTTGAGTAAGTCCTTTGCCATGAAGGATTTGGGTCCAGCAAAGCAAATTCTTGGGATGAGAATTGTTCGTGACAGATCACATGGGCTGATTTGGTTATCTCAAGAGAATTATATTAAAAAGGTTCTTGAGAGGTTCAATATGGACAAAGCAAAGCCTGTTAATTGTCCACTTGCAGGCCACTTCAAACTAAGCTCAAGTCAGTGTCCTACAAGTGATGAAAAGAGAAATGAGATGCAGAAAATTCCCTATGCTTCAGCAGTTGGTTCTTTGATGTACGCCATGGTTTGTACTCGACCGGATATTGCTCACGCAGTTGGGGTTGTCAGTCGATTTTTGTCTAATCCAGGGAAAGAACACTGGGCAGCAGTGAAATGGATTATGAGGTATCTTCAGGGCACTTCA